AACAACTTTTCTGTGAATGCAGGCGAAAGTAAACGATTGCTTTAGTTTGCTGTGTTTTTGCTGCCAAGATGTGTTGGATCTACTGTCGAAACTTGCTTGGAAAGGATATTTTCAAGGTTTGTTTACTCAAGCTGCAGACTGTGAACCATTAGTACACATCTCTGCATAATAGTTGGTTGGTGGGGGAGTGTTTTGGAAGAGTGAATGAGTACCAGACCTCCAGCTGCCTCTTGTCTTCTACAAGCACATGTGGCCTCGGGGATTCCATGTCATGAAGAAGAAGCCTCTATTGACTGACCCAAGACAGTTTACAGATGCAAGACAGACTCTGCAACACTACTAGGGCAGTTGAGACATACCACACGTGTGAAGAGTAAGATGTGAAGAGAGATAGATGCTGAATGTTTTGAAAATACTGTGCACAGAGAAAGGGGAAAAGTCATGCATGTAGAAATGGAGTCACAGTTGGGATTTAAGCTTGGTCAAATGCCAAGTAGAGAAGTGTGTCTTTATGTGTGTCAGTTTTATAGTGTTTTATTATATCATAGTCTTAAAAAGGAAAAATGGTTGGAAGTAATTTAATTTCATGAATTGACAATTAGCTTATGTAACCTAGTGCAATTTAGTGTTCTGTGTTAACTGTGGCAGAATTGTGGACCACTTTTCTTTGCAGAATTGTTTTCATTCAACCACATTTGAGGGTTTTGAGCATGTATAGTCTGTTTAATGTCAGCCCAAAGCATCTCAAACAGATTCAAGTCCAGACTTTGACTAGACCACTCCAAAACCTTCCTTTTTATTTTTATTTTTTAAGCTATTCAGTAGTGGACTTGCTGGTGTGTTTCAGATCTTTGTGCTACTGCATATTGCAAGTGTTGTTGAGCTTTAGGACATGAGATGGTGGCAGGATATTCTCCTTCAGGATTTTCTGGTAGAGTGCAGAATTCACTGTTCCATCAATTACAGCAAGCCATCCAGGTCCCGAAGCACCAAAACACTGCGGTTTGCTGGATTCCCAAAGCTTTAGAAATGACTCTGTAACCCTTCCAAGATTGATATATGTCAGTGACTTTGTTTTTCATCTGATCTTGTATTTCTTTAGATCATGGCATGATGTGTTGCTTTTTCACAATTCTGTTTTAGTGATTTCTTGATTCAGCAGGTCTGGCAGCAATCAAGCCTGGGTGTGGCTGATGAAATTGAACTAATCTTTCCAAGAAATGCGGTTAATCACAATTAATTTGCGATTTAACAAGGGGGCGATAACTTTTTCTCTAATAAATGAAGTCATCAATTTAAATCTAAATCGTGCATACACCATGGGGATCTGTTTTGAGGGCAGGTATGCAGGAAAAAACTTTCCAGAATCCTTTGTTAGTAATCCTGGTGTTGCCTTATGGAGAGATCTATCAGTGTTCATAACTCAGTTTGCCACTGCAATCTGAATGAACAAAGGGGGTGGGGTGGGGGGGGGAAGCTTCTTTCTGGTGATGAACAACTTTTCTGTGAATGCAGGCGAAAGTAAACCATTACTTTAGTTTGGTGTGCTTTTGCTGCCAGGATGTGTTGGATCTACTGTCGAAACTTGCTTGGATTTTGCATTTTGTATTTAACTGGGTCATCTTTGTCCATTTTTAAAGTTCTTTGATGGTCAGAAACTAAATTTGACAAAGATAAAAACAAAACCAGAAAAGGGGAAAACTTCATTATTTAATTTGATAGAAATAGCACACACATTAGTCAATCACTGAAGTTTGAGAAACCTGTTTAGAACATGGTGGAGCTGCAAGATTGCTAATAAGTATTTCAAAATTTGGTGTTCATTATGAACCGAAAAAATTTGTTGTATAAACCGGTTCTATGGACCCACAAAAAGCAACACCTTTAGAATAAACATCTGACATATTGTATTAATCATAATGTTGCATATTTTGCTTTTCTGTATATTTACTTTCCAGTCTGTATATAGTGGTGCACAAGTAATTATTGAATTGCATGTTAGATGGTTTTTTGTCGTATTTTCTTAATCAAACTTAAAAACAAGCACCAATAATGCATTTTAATATAAGCACAATAGGTAACAATATAAGTAAACATGCCAGTGCAAACATACAGACTAATGTACAAAGTATCTATTATTACTATTAATTTGACTCAAACTGCAAATCACCGGGCTAAACACGCTGTATTTTTCCAACTTCTCTTTTATAGCAGCAACTCTGTGTTCTATCATCCCTCTTCTTCACTCTCTCCTCCTTTCATTAGAATTAAGTCCCTGATTTGTATTCTATGATAACAGCCAAGATTAAAGTAGGTTTAGAAAAAAGAAAAAACATCATTTGCATGATGCATTCACTGATTAAGCTAAGCGTCCCTCTTAATTGTGTTGTTTTGCACATGGTGAGGTTCTCATGCTGATACTCTGTGGGTTTTACTAAACCCATGCAATCTCACCAATTCACTTCAATTTCCTTCCTACTTCACTGTCCATCCCACCTACCTCCCGCTGTCATATGCATGGCAGGTTAGTAGAAGTATTAATAGTGAATTATTTGTGAATCATTTTGAGCTTGTTCAAATCATCATTCACTCTGTACTAAAGAAGATAAAGCACCAGGAACAGTGTGATCCTTCTGTATATTTTCTGTTGTTTTTAGTACGTGTGTGCGTGTGTGTGTGTGTGTGTGTGTGTTTTCCCCCTGTAGCCATCTCCTCTCTTTTATCCTAATCCAATAGGTGACAAGGAGCTGGCATAGTTGTATATAGCCACAGTTGGCTGTGAAACTATAAATGCATTACGGTTGACTTGAAGGGGATGACACAAAGGGCACACTTCCATTATTGGGAAAATAAAAACAGACAGCCAAACATACATTACATGGCTGTTGAAAGACAATACTGCAGAAAAACGATCACAGGAATACAGCTGTGACATGCTGCACAAAGGTAGTTTCAGGCAGTCAGCGCAGATCGAACACAGTTTTAAAGCAACAACCAAAAAAGGCATTCAAAGAGATCCAAAAGAAAGCAAAACATACTGTAGCTGTATTAATCTCCACATACTAAATGAACCATGTCATTCCACTAAGTGACACATTGGATTTCTGCACCGCACACTGTTTTCTTACATTTACTGCTTTTATACTATAAATATTATTGACATGTCAAAGCAGCCACTGACATTAGTGCGCTACGGAAACAGACTCATCAGAGTTTGAATGCAATTTGGTATAGAGCTCAGTATCTAACTGTTTTAGGAAAGCTAAAGCAATTTGGGTGTAAAGTACAAACCTAAAATAAAACAAAACTCAACAGTGTTATTCTAACAACCAGTGGCAAATGATATATATTGTTAAAGAGTAACATCTCTTCGATAGCTGCTGTAATGACTAAAACTAAACTGCTCACTAAACACCCTGCAGAGCTTAGGTGGTTGCATGGTGGGAACTTAATTCCAGCCCTGTTACCCCCCTCCGGTGCCCTTGCAGTGGCATCAGTCTGTGGGACAGATGCATTGTTATCCTGTCACATTCACTACAGCGTAACTCCACATGATTCAGCAACAAAGCAAGTAATTCACTGAACACCCCCGATCTCCTCCAATCACAGCTCTTTGTCATATACTGTAACTCACCAATACAGTACATGCTCAGTGCCAGTTTTTTTTCTTCTTCTTTCTGTTTCTTTAATTAATGTCACAACGTGTCGAGTGAAAGATCAGCAGTGAATAATGGCGCACAACACTTGCAAACCTCATTAAAGTTATTTCAGTTCGAGCTTTTTTCCTCTGCTAGTTTATAATTCACAGTATTTATGTTGCATGGGAGCAGCCCTGGTCTCTCACTGAGTGTTTTTTATGCGCACTGCAGTTGAACGACATGGAAAAGCCATAGCTATAAGTTGTGGACCTCATAAACAAGAAGAGGACAGGATATAAAAATAAAAGGCCAGCTCCGCTCTGTAAAGACAGGCCAATTCCATATCTTTCTCATCACATCACAAATTATGTCAACACTGCATCAGTGCATTGGCAGAAAGATAAAAAGCACTGGGACCAAGGAAATACAAGCACTCGTTCTCCTCTGTGCCCTCCTCCGTGTCTTTTTCTTTGTCTCAGTGCCCCTCTTGCCTAGGTTATTCAGTTTTTGTTAATAAAACTCCAATCATGATATTGGTAATTGGAGTCTGAAGCTCCTTGCCGTTTTAGAGAGCAAGGGTTAGCTCAGCTTTATACATTACACAGCCTGTGATCCGTACTTTCATAATGGGTATGTGGACACTCGTGTGTTGCAGGCTGCAGCTCTCCAAAATTAGGCTTGGGTAGTTTTAATGAGACAGTTGAACTTTTTTTGCCTTGATCGCATTTGAGTAATCATCGATTGGAAGTGAAATCATGAACACGTTGGAAAAAATGAAAAGCTCTGTGGCGATAATGAGACAGCGTATATGGATGCAGTGCTCAGGGGGGAAAGCAAACCAGCAGCAACAGCTGGCGCATGAAACGTTATTCACGTGTCGGGGCGGGTCGTCCTTACTAACTGGTTGCTTATGGGTGTGGGGCTTTAGGCCCATTGACAGCTGAAATCCTGGCCGAGCCTCTCTTGGCGTGACGTCTCTGGTGGACACTCCACGTGAACCAACACAGGCTACAGTTTAGGACAGAGTCCCCCCACCATGGAAGTGTCCTGTAGTTAAACGATGTCTCTTTCGCACACAAGGACAGGATACATTGTGGCTTATTCTGATGGTTATATAACCTTTGGGGGGAGAATATACATTTCACGTGAAAAAGAAAAGCAAAACGTTTTTTCTTCTAAGACTTTATCATCTAAATAATAAAGAAAACTACATTTCACCGCATTCCTAAATATCTAAAACATTAACAATTAACATAAACAACTATTCTAAACACACCCATTCAACCACAGTACAGTTCGTCTGCTCTAATAAGCTGTTCGTGCAGGTCGCTACTTTCTCTTCACTTTTGCTCTCACCAGAAAGCATGGCAGCGTATTAAAGGGGTTTTATTTTGGAAGTTTGGCCCGGCAGTCATTCTCCCTAGCTGCCCCCTCTGTGGTGGTGGTCAACAGAGCAGAGTGGATTGCTGGCGGATGAGGGCGCTTGATCGCTACGCGAGACACACTGCCCACTTTCTCTGTTTAAGCGACGTAGCGTGTCTCTACCCCTCCAAGTGGTCTAGACGATGAGCAGCAAATAAGGCAAAAACCGCACCAGGAAAGCACGCGTCCGATCCTGAGATTGAGTGATATGTAAAAGTCGTCCCGGTGAGGACTGAGTCGGGCCGAGCAGTCTGCAGTGAAGAAGAAGCAGGACTTGTAACCCGTTAGTGCTTGCGCTGGCCATCAGATGAGCAACTTCTGAAAAGTAAATCTGCGCCGTGCTTGCAGTTTTCAGCTCCACGCTTTGGATGAAGTAAGTTAGTTTATGTTTTAAAGAGTGAAATGCGTTGTTTGTGCCCATAAATCTCCACATTTTAAGCATGTTTTGCACATCTCGAGGCTTAGCTTAAATGCAGCACTTCTTTCTGTTACGCAAAAAAAAAAAGAAAAAGAAAATCTTTCCAACCCATCACAAACTCATTTGTTCTTCTGGTGCGCACTTTTAAGAGCTTACAGCAGAATCAACAACGAATGGGATTTTTTTTCCCCTGTGCTGCAAATTGGCGTTGCAAGAGAAATTTGGAGAGCTTGGGATGGGATGCCAGCCATAGCTGGATGTGACGGATGTATACTTTTCTATTGTTACCCGTTAAGTCCCGTTAATTACAGCTCCGGGGTGTTTGTACAGTACAGTCCCGCTGTGTTAAACAGCATGCTGACAAATACCGAAACCTCAGTGGAGAAATACAAACATCTGGAATGAGACAGAAGCGCTGTTTCTTTAAAAAGTGATCAAGCTATTCTAAAATGCTCAGAAGGTGCTTGTTTTCTTTGGTGTCTTTGCATGCATCAAATTCAGAATTGAGTGATTATGATATCTGTACAGTTATATCTGTTATTGTAGACGCAAGACATTAGGACAGTGGTTCTGCACAGGTTTCATTGGTGGGCATGTGGGTGGTGGGGGTGGCACACCTGGGGGGAAACGTGGAGTGAATTATATGACTTAAAGGGGGAATAAACAAAAGGAAGAGCTGATGCTGCGATTCTTAACTTTTTAGTTCATCTGAAATTAAGCTGGGATCTTTTTTATTGTTAATGATTGTGGAGTGTGAGCTTTCTTTGGCTTCTAAAGTTTGAGAAGTACTGCATGTCGAGTACAAATATTATGATTTTCTCTAGAAATTGGCAGTTTTCTTTTTAAATATTTTCTCTTTTATCCCACCAATATTGAGCTGTGATTTACCTAAACTGCTCAGTTGGATTCAACACCATCCAAAGACACTCAATATCATATGAAACCAGTACAATAATATTAAGAGGAACTGCAAACATTCATGTAATCAAGCTTCTTACTGACTAAATGACTTCACTGTTTACAATATATTAAGAAATGGTAATTGATTTAGCCTTGCACTAATAGGTTAACCGAGTTTATATCATTCCAGAAAAATGACCACCATCCAAACACCTGCCAAAAGAGTAGTCTGGGACTTTGTTTTTCCTCCTTATTGCGTTTTTATTAACAGCACATGCATTTACCAGTTTCGCAAGCTTCTAATCTCAGTTTGTTTGCTCTTCATCAGTGAACGCTTGACCGTTTTACGAACCACAGGAGAACAATGTTTCTCATTTTGCAGTTTTGATTAGGACGCACACTGCACTCTGATGAGATACACAGAAGGCAGAGTTCCAGCTCTGCTTCTTCTTATTCATCACCCAAAATTTGTGGCCATCTGCACTTTGAGCAGTCCAGGTTGTGTGTTTTTGGTGTGTTTTGTGCCTTTTATTTTCTAGAAGAACCATATTTACTTTCACTTCAGAATCTCATAAATCCATTTGTGCAGTTGCTTGAAAACAGTATTTTACTTTAAAGTTTTACCCATAATCGATTCTCTGTATAAATACAGATATAAAAAAATCGTCGGCAGTGTGTCTTAAACATCACATCAATTTTTATAGATGCATAACTTGCTAATATTCATCCTAATGTAGCTAAAGCATCTTCAGTTGGATGCTTTATTTGATCACTTCTGCATTAATGCAGAGAAAAGCAACGATGAGACATGTGGTGAGAAGCTGTGTAACTACAGCAATTACACACCAGCCCCTACTGTGCAGCTGAAAAGAAATTTCAAAACATGAGGCGAGTAGTTTTAAGAGACATTACAGCCATCGGTTTGTGTCTCGCTGTCGTCACACACAACATTAAGTACAGCTGTTATGTTCCAAAACCTCTGACAGCTCAACAGCACTCTGGAAACCATTACATTTTGCACACATCCATGTACACCTGGGCTTCAGTCATGGTTTTCAGAATGTGCTTGTGTGTGTCTGACATACAGAGAGAAACAGCAGATTTAGACCAAAAGGGAAAGGTACATGTTGCACAGATATAATTAGTCCAAATAACAGAGCTGGAAGGGGTTAGACTGGATAGAGGCTTGATTCCTTCAAATTAGATTGAACTCCAAAACCTCAACCACTAAATTTGAACTATTCAGTAAATCACAATAAATCATTAAAGCCTAATGGCACAGTTAATTTTCCAGTTCTGATAAATTTTTTAAAAAACTGTCTCTGAAATGGCCAAATTTGACTAGTAGCAGCTTTACCACCGTCAGGCACCTGTAAAAGATGAAAAACCTGATTTTAAAACATAAAACATTTAATAGTCGATAGCTTTAGACAAACCGCTGTATGCCCGCGTGCGCACAAACACAACTGGAAATTTTGTAAAGCAATTTGACTCTGCTGGACTCGTGCTTGTGCTCATTACTTTTGTCATTCTCTCTCTGAAACGCATGCTTGATTTTATTTATACACATATGCATGCATATACACACAGACACCCACTCTTTCCCTTGCTGGTCTCCCACACACATAGACATGAGCGGGGTTTGCAGATGTGTGACCTGATCTGCTTCCAGCAGAGACTTTTCTCATGCCAATGTGCTGACTCTGAGTTTTCCGCACTCTCTTATGAAATAAGAGCAGGGGACGTTAGAACCATCCAGTAGCCATATTTATATAGGGAAGTGGACACACAAACATATATGTGCATAGGTTAAAAATTACATATATATTTATATGTACCTAGCTTCTTCACAAATATACTGATTTCCAGACAAATGTATGTAAATACATCCAGCAGCACAAGGCTTATTTAGAGGAGCTGGTTGCTGCTGTTTTCAGGTCCTTACTCTTGTCTGATTGGCTCTGCCGAGGTAGACTCTCACTCACTACCTGGTGTAATGTGCAGACTCATGTGGAAGTGTTACATTTACTAAAATGTTGAGGCTGGGGTTGAAGTTAAGGAAAAATGTTTGCATGCTATCTAGAGATATAACAATTCTGAACCCAAGACTGAAATTGCACTGCAATCATCCACAATAATGCATTGTGGTTCCATTTTTCCTACACCGTGATGCTCCTGTGGAGTTGTTATACCTGGTTAAATTATGCTAGTTTGGTGAAAGCTGTAATGTTTAAAGATTTTTCAGGGCCTAAGTGAACTGGAAATATCTCAAAACAGCATAGTTTAGTTTTCTTTTATTTTTTGTTTTCATGATGATGATTGTCAAGCGATCAGGCCTGTGGTAAAAATAATTTTTTCCACCATAATCATTTTGTGTTGTTCCACCTCTCTAAAGAAAACCCCGTAGCTTTGGCACAGAAACTGACGTATGATTTTGGAGAAGTACACTCCTGCCGATACGTATTACAGGAACCAGTAGTGGTCAAACGCACAACACAGTCATTGTTTGAATAGATTTCGTTAAAATGACTATAATTTCTGCCACAACATTTTCCAAATGTTTATTTATTGTCCTTCAGTCACAAAGTATAGCTAAACCATGTTGAGACACAGTGACACGCTCTATGAAACCATAAATAATAAGCCAGTTGGGTTGCTGGTGAGAAAAAAAATCACGGCTCCATAACATTATATTCCACATTTTTCTTGGTTGTTTATGTTTACTTTGTCTTGTTTTGAAGACGATGTAGTTGTCTGGCATCTGGCATCTAAATTATATTTGTTTTAAAGCTTCCCAGGGTGATGATTTTTACTGACATGCTATCATTATTTCATGATTAAAACTGTATGCAGTTAAAGATGCCCTGTAGACGTTTTTCTTCCACAAAAATTCCGTTGTTTACATCACAGATTTTTAAGATTGATTGTATTTTTCTGCTCAGGGGACATCAGAAATCCAATTGCAAAAATAAAATTATGCATAATTTACTGCATGTGTGTGCATCCTGGGGCAGGATACACACAGATCCACTCTTTAAATCACAGTGCTCAAAAACTTTTTAATGTCTCAAGCAATTGTTATAAATATTTTGTAGCATTTAGCAGAGTAGCTATGATTTCAAAATTCCACTTTTGTTGTGGAAATGTGAAAATGTTAATTCATTTGCATTCTGTCAAAGTTGAATCACCTCAGGCCATTTAGAGCTTATAAACATTCGTTTTTCTTTAATGCCCCACGAAATAATAAAACACTGAAGTGGGGAAAATGAAAAATGCAGGTCAAATTGCCCAAAGCCTCCCCCCATCTGTTAGTGAATAAAATAATCATCCTTCTTTTCTTCGTAATCCGAATCAGTGTTTCATGATGGCCTTGAAGACCTTACGGCAGAATTTCTTTCTTGTAATGACCAAATGCTAAATCTCATTTCAAATTTCCTGTTGTATTATATGTGGACATGAGCACAGACTGTTTTGCTGACTTCTGTGTTGTATTGCGAATGTCATTAACATGAAACCAAACTAAGCGGGCCTCTTGGGGTTATTGAGCTTTTAGTTTTCCAGGGTGCTGGTTTTGTCCGATAAATTAACACTCTTCTATCCTCTTACCCAAATAAATTTGGACATTTATGTCTGCAAAGGAGCTTGAGGAGTGCCAGTATGATAAAGACAAAACGTTAGGGCACAGTAGTCCAAAAAACAATGTCATTACTATTACGTTGCCCATCTTCTATATACAGTCTATGGTTTGGATGTGGAGTCCTTAAAAAGAAAGTATGGTTCTTTTTCCATTTTAATACAAAAACAAGTTATTGTGGACACTAAAGATAAAAGAAAAAATGTATTTTGGAATGACTTGCTTTTACTCCCCTGCCCTAAGACACAATTCAAAAACACAACAGTGCACATAAGTAAATTTAGAGTATGAAATTAGTGTCCATAGAAAATATTTATTGACTACAAAATGTCAGAGCGCCAACTACACAGTCTTTCTGTTTTTTGCTTTCTCGCTAAAGGAAGCTCAAACTAAACTCTAGCTTGCAACATTGCTCTGCGAGTGTTTGTGTACATGTTGTCCTTCTTCAGTTATAGAAGGGACTAACAGAAACGATGTGTCCTTTCACCCCCTAACCTTTTTTTCTTTGGCTTCTGCCTCCCCTGTCAGCTTCTTTAGAACAAACATAGATGATTACAGTAGATTTAAGGAAACATAGGAGAGGCATGGTGCTGGCAGAGGGGTGCCAAGTCAAGGTCTGCATCTGTGTGCCTTAGTATGTGTGATGTGTTCATGTTGTATGCACGTGTGTGTGTGTGTGTGTGTGTG